AAAACAATGACAAGCCTTTTCCATGGAGAACAGAGTTTGCTCACTCAATTATTTCCTAAAGTCGTGCCCTCTTTCCAGCTTGACACCATCATTTTTGAGGCAACAGCACTAAGTCTGTTGTTCTTCAGATCCACAAAGCCACACTGAACCTGCCACATGAGCGCAGCAAACTTTGAGAACAATGCCTTATTCCCTGGCGGTGGAACTAACTAGTCAAGTAATGATTACTGTATTGTTTATTAAGCGGTTGCTTTGTTAAAATGACTTATCAGGGTGAATCTAAGTTGTATTTGTTTACCAGTCCAGCTTTTCTCTTTATTTAGGAAGTTTTGTTCACTATTCCTGATTGCTACAAAGCTTCAATGGAAAATACTAATAATCTGATTTTAGTGAAGTCAGACCTTTTAGGAATTCAAGATACAACTTAGATGAAGATAAAAATGATACCCAGAAAACGAGTAATAGTTGTCCTAAGTTTGGTTTATTTCCCAAATTCATTTTTCACTTGTAGGCCATGAGAAAGGGGAATGTGCTGGGTGCAGTGGGTGGGGGTCTGTTTCTTCCACCTAACACCAGCTTGGAAACAGTTGACATTTGATAGCATTGTCTCTGAGATTTGTAACCCTCTAGTAGAATTACATGCCCCTTGAGAAATAGCCTTCCTCTTTTTTTTTTTTTTTTTTTTATCAGTTGGGAAAACATTAACTTTGTCCCTTGGAGTATCCCCTACTGCCATCAATAAAGTTTGTCTTTTTTTTTTCTCTTTTAGAAGCAAAAGTGCCAATTTTCCTTTTCCTTTTTTTTTTTTTTTTTTTTTTTTTAATTTCTCCCCTTCACTGGAGGAGCCAGTGAGGTGACAAGGGACTTGGTGCATTGAGAAGGCCTTTAATGCTGCTGCCTCCTACCATCCACAATCAGGAGGAGGTCTGTCCCTAAGCTTTCTGCCTGCCTGGCTTTAAGCTTATTTGGGGACAGAATACAGCTTTCTGTCATACACACACAGATACACACACACATGCAAACACACTCACAGACAAATCAACCAGCTGCAGGCCGAGCAACAGGAGGTGGCAAAATGTTGCCACTGTGTCACTGGATTTGCAAGCATCCCCTCCAAAGCAAGGCCAAGGCTAGTTATTCCCTGGGCTAAAGCCAGCCTGAGAACTTGGGGACCCTGCCAAAGCCTTGACAGTCCCTAAGCCTAGCTCTGTTGCCAGAGCCACACAGGAAAGTCATTAATTCATTAAATAAAGCTTCACTAAATGACTAGAGAGCCCATTATTTGTTCATCAGTGGGCTACCTGCATAGAAGATATCTGAGCATTGACTTTAAGGAACCCAGAATATTTGAGGAAGAGGAGAAAAGACATACTCATTTAAAAATTGAATAATGTAACAAGAAACACCACTCAGAGCAGTCTGTAAGTAGAAGCCAAATGACCTTTCAGAGGAGGGAGTTTTCAGAGGGGTGAATAGCAGCCATCAGAGAAAGGAGACATTGTGGTATAATGAAGAGGGCCTGGGCTTTGGAGCCAGACAGACTGGGTGCAGATCCTCACTGTGTGATCTCCACCAAGTTCCTTGCCCTCTCTGGACATCAGATTCCTTACTGGCGGAATAGAGGTAGCATATGCCTTGCAGAGTGATTGAAGGGATCATATGAGGTCAGCCGCACATAACAAGTACTCAACAAATGTCTGAGTTTTTTGTTTTGTTTTTTTTTAAGATTTTATTTATTTATTCATGATAGACATGGGGGCAGTGGGGAGAGACACAGGCAGAGGGAGAAGCAGGCTCCATGCCGGGAGTCCCACACAGGACTCAATCCTGGGACTCCAGGATCACACCCCGGCCAAAGGCAGGTGCTAAACCACTGAACCACCCAGGGATCCCCTTGTTTTCTTTTTCAGAACATCATAGAGTAGTTGAAAAAGTAGTTTGTGTAGGTTTTTTTGGTCCAGGGGGAAATAAGGAGAGACTATTCCTTAGAGGAAAGAGGACTATAATGGAAAAAGTCATCCTGTCTAGTAAATGCTTTAGGAAGTGGAAAAGTATGAGAAGGGAGGCATTCTGTTTCCCTTTTTAACATGAACTTTTTTCTGAATATGAAAATGTTTCATGCCTATTACAGAAAATTTGGAAAGGAATAAAGTAAAACATCAAATATAATTCTGCACCCAGTGAAAACTCCTATAAACATTTTGGTGTTCCTTCTGATCTTTTTCTAGTACATATTTTCACATAACTGAGATCATACTATATACATAGTTTTGAATCCTACTTTTTTGCACCTAATGTTTCATAAGCATTTTCCCATGTCATTAAAAATTCTTCTCCACAAACATCATTGGCAATGGCCATATGGAATTTCACATATGGATACACCAAAATCTTCTCCACTGTTCCACAAATGGACATTTAGGGCTGTTCAGATACTTCACTGTTAAAAATAATGCCTCCGTGAATACCTTGTGGCAAAATTCTGTTTCCTCAGGATGGTTCTATAAAGTGGAATTACCAGTGTAAAGTTCCTACTGACCACAGACAAAGTGCTTTCCAGAAAGGATGTCCAATCCACATTCCCTGCCAGTCACAAAGGAGAGACACTTGGTCTTATCTTAATATCCAGATATTATCTTTGAAAAGAAACTTTTTTGCCTAATTTGACAGTCACTGAATAGCATTTCATTGTTCTCTTAATTACCTGCTTCCTTTTAGCAGACGTACCTAAAAGGATTTAAAGTAGTCCACAGATAAAGGAAAACCTTTCTTTTGTCTGCAATCAACAAATATTTATTGTGCAAATCATTTGACTCTGGGTTTATCCTCGGTCTCCTTTTGGGCAGGTTTGGAAGATTCACCTCTCAGGTTTCCATGATAATGAAGAGAAGAGCTTTGAGGTTCAGTGCAGTGGACATTCTGGGTGAAAACATAACGACTCTGCCACTATTGAGCTTTGTGGAAAAGCAAGTCATGGAACCTGTCTGAAATTCTGGTCCTTCAATATATTTTTTAAAGGTTTTTATTTATTTATTCATGAGAGACACAGAGAGAGAGAAGCAGAGACACAGGCAGAGGGAGAAGGAGGCTCCCTGCAGGGAGCCCGACGGAGGACTCGATCCAGGGACCCCAGGATCACGCCCCGGGCCGAAGGCGGGCGCTACACCGCTGAGCCGCCCAGGGATCCCCTGGTCCTTGGGTATTGTCTCCTATCCTAGGATGTGAAAAATGTGAGGATCCCAAGTTTTACTCAATAACATACTAAAGGTGCTTTTAAAAGTTTTCTTTTAATCCTACAAAAGTGTAATAACACGGTTAGTTTCATCCAGTCATTATTGTGTCCTAAATGAGCAGTTTCTAAGAGTCCCACCTGCTGATCTCAACATCAGCTTTTTTTAATAATAAATTTATTTTTTTATTGGTGTTCAATTTACCGACATACAGAATAACACCCAGTGCTCATCCCGTCAGGTGCCCCCCTCAGTGCCCGTCACCCACTCACCCCCACCCCCGCCCTCCTCCCCTTCCACCATCAGCTTTCAGGAGATGAGGTCCTTCACCAACACACATCGGGGGAGGGGAGGGGTGCCGAGGACAGAGGACAGCTAGGCTCGGAGAGACGGCCGCAGACCATCCCGGGAGCTCCTCCCGACTGAGAGGTTTCATCCTAAGGAAGGGGCTGGTGTGTTTAGGATGCAGTCTGGGCAAGCGCTCTTCCCGGGACCATCCCGGGGTGCGCGCCGCAGCGCCCTCCCGCCCTCTCTGGCTGGCGCTCGCAGCCTGGGCCCCGCGGACGCCGCGCGGGGAGGGATGGAGGGAGGGCGCTGCGGGCGCGGCCCCTGCAAACCCCGCCTGCCGGGGCCTCGTCCACGTCCAGCCCCACCCCACCCCTCCCCCACCCCACCTCGCCCGAGCCGTCCACCCAACTTCTTATCCCCGCGGCCGCTCGTCCTCCGCGCGGAGTGCAGGAGGACGCCGGGTACGCGGCCACACGTGCGCTCAAGCCGGCTTGGGATCCCAACCCTCGGCCTCGTCGCCGCCAGCCGGCTCTCCGGCTCCTCCGCGTGGGGGCCTTGTCCTCGGGTTCGGGGCTGCGCGCCCCGCGCCGCGAGCAGGGCATCGCACACCCCGGCCCCCGGTGGGCTAAATGCAATCGCTGTTGTGCAAATGAATGAGTGATTGTGTGCACGTTTGCCTCGTGATCTGTTACAGAAAGTGCTATTCGCTGAGCGACTCTCGTGCTAAGGCGCACTTACACACACGTCTGGGTACGGCGGTCACTACTGGCTGCCCGGGAACACGCACCTACTTCCCTGGCACAGTCTCCCTCCTTGATCACGCCAAATCATCCTACCTCTTCGGGAAGCGTTTCCGTATTTTGCACACCCGATGCGGGCACTGTTCCTGGGGATGGGCACGTATGCTCGCATACAGTTGTGCTCCGAAGGGAGAATCGTTTTGTTTTCTGAACGGTCTGCAGCCGCTGAGCGCGCGGGGAAGGGAGTCACAAGCTGGACCCGCGTGGGCGTCGCCGCCTACGGGCTGGGTTATGCTGGTACGTCACTACCCTTCTCCGGGCCTCAGTTTCCCCATCTGTAGCATTCCCGGGGCCGGAATTCCATCCACGTGAGCAAGGATGGATGCACACTGGGTCGCGTAGGGGGCCCGCGCCTCTCACCTCCCTCCGGGCGCGCTCAGCGTTCCCAAGTTGGGGGACGCCTCCGGGAGTCCCTCCACGCACAGCTCGAGACGCACAAGGTGACCTCCAGCTAACAGCGGCGGCTCAGGGGATTCCCAGGTTTGCCCCATTAACCTCGCCGGGGCTGCAGCGCGGCGGGCCGCCGCCCCTCCCTCGCGCCCTCCTCCCGCACGCCAGCCCCTCTCCCCCCGCACCCCGCCTCCCTCCTCCCGGCCCCGCCCGCCGCCCACCCGCGGCGCATGCGCCGCCCGCCGAGCGTGTTTCTATAAAAGTCCAGCGTCAGCCAGAAACTTCACAGTGTGTTGTTGGCTGCGGCAGCAGGTAGCGAAGTGACCCCGACGGCTTGGGTGCTCCGGTAGCCACGGCGGCCGGAGGGCGAGCAGTGACCATGGAAGAGCTCCATGTAAGTCCGGTTTCGGCCTGATTTCCTTACACGCACAAACACGAAAACTTAGGGCGCGACCCCCCTCGGAGCGAGCAGAGGCGAGCGGAGCGTGGGAGGGGCCGGCCCGGGAGAAGGAGCGTGGAGGGGAGTTTCCGTGCGCGTGGCTACCCTGGAGGACCCGGCAGGATTGGAGTCGTTGGCTCTGCAGGGAGAGGAGGACAGATGCGTGTGTCTCCCCTGGAGCCTCAGACCCAAGAACGTCCTGTACAGCCGCGGGCGGCGCCGTCCCGGGACTCAGCCCGAGGATGTCTCCGGGGGGTGGTGAACTACAGGAGCTGGAGCTGGAGGTGGGGGCGGCGCGCGGGGCTGAGTTCCCAGGGCGAGGACCGCGCCCCTTGTTAATCTCAGGCGCAGGCGGGGGTTGGGGGGGCGCCCTTGAGGGGGGGCGCGCGGGCCCTAAGCTCTGCACAGCCCGCGGGGCTGCGTCAGGACCCCCCGCCGGCGAGCAGCGGGCGGGAGAGGCGGGCATCTGAGCCTCGGCCCCGCGGGGACGCGGCCGTGGGAAGCGCGGCGAGCGGCCCCGGGCCCCGACGGCGGAGCATGAGGGCGCCTCGGCGCAGCAGGACCCGGAGGTGTGCGCGGCGGGGCCCCGCGGGAGGCTGCGAGGGCACCTGGGCTGCGGGAGCTTGCGGCGCACACGGGCAGGTGCAAGTGGGGAGACCGTTTGGCCCTCGCCGATCCCAAATGCGCCGTCGAACCGTTGGTGGTTTCCTGGAGACTTTGGAAAACCCCTTACCAGGAAGGCTTTTCGTTTCCCCGGCGGCGCGCGATTCAAAGGCTGTTCGGGGGAGACGCCCATTCTCTCCCCAACACCCTGTGAGCCTGCCCTTGGCGAGGGGCTGGGCGAGACGCCGGGAGCCGCGGCGCCCGCTGGTGGGCGTGGGCGCAGGGCAGGCGCGGAGGTCGGGGGTTCGCGCCCCCCCAGGCCTCAGGGCGCCCTCCGCCCCGAGGCTTCCAGCTGCAGACCTCCGACCCCATTTACTGGGTCAGTGGCGGGGTGGGAAGCGGCCCGGGAGGGTGAGGAAATGAAACTCGGGGCGAGGACCATGAGCGCAGACCCCGTGACCTTCCCCTCCCAGTAGATCGCCGCGCTCCCCAACGTCCCAGACGCGCCAAGAGGTGGACGGGTCGGGCGGAGAGACCCGCGCCCAGAGGAGCGCAAGCCCCAGGCGCTGTGCGCGCTCCGCACCCCCTTCTAACAGCCCCGTTCAGCACCCCGAGCGCCACAGATCCTTCCTTTAAGGCTGGATCCTCCTTCCCCCCTACATGTTGCTTGAAGTACAGATTGGTTTGTGTTTGCATGGACGAGGGGAAGGCAATGTTTTGTGCCTTAGGAGAAAGTTTTGAGGACCCCCCCCCTCCATGCTCATTCTTTCCCTTTTCCCTATCCTGGGGAAACCTTCGTATAGAAAATCAATCCCAGCTCCTCGGAACTCAAGCTTCCGTTCCCACTCCTCGCCTGCCCCCCACCCCCACCCCACCTCTCCCACTCCCTAGGGCGCACAGTCTAGGAGTGGTTCCCTTTGTGTTTTGTTTTGGTATTTTCCCTCCCAAGGTTCCCCCCCCCCAGTGGGTGGGGTAGAAGAGTTAGCAAAGATGTGACTTTCAAACACTCAGAATCTCAGCGCCCTTTTGTTCTAAACAAAGAATTTTGTAATTGGTTCTACTTAAGAAGGATATAACAAGTGACTCTGGGGAAGATGAGCAGGAGGGTTGCAGGAATCTATAACAATTCTCTTGTGCCCATCCACTCACTACTTCATCCGAAGCAGAATGTCCTGAAGAAGCCTGGGCTGACTTGGGTTTTATAAATCACTTTTTAAAAATCGCAGAAACATTTTTTTTTTAATTCGGAGAATGCCAGCTGAACTAGAAAGTTAACATCCCTTCCCTTGCCTCTTTTGCAGATATACCCTTCAGATAACTACACAGAAGAGGACTTGGGCTCAGGTGACTATGACTCCATGAAGGAACCCTGCTTCCAGGAGGAAAATGCTAACTTCAACCGTATCTTTGTGCCCACAGTCTACTCCATCATCTTCTTGACTGGCATAGTGGGCAATGGATTGGTCATCCTGGTCATGGGTTACCAGAAGAAACCGAGAAGCATGACAGACAAGTATAGACTGCACCTGTCTGTGGCAGACCTCCTCTTTGTCCTCACACTTCCCTTCTGGGCAGTTGAGGCTGTGGCAAACTGGTACTTCGGGAATTTCCTGTGCAAGGCAGTCCATGTCATCTATACTGTCAGCCTCTATAGCAGTGTCTTCATCCTGGCCTTCATCAGTCTGGACCAGTACTTGGCTATTGTCCATGCCACCAACAGTCAGAGGCCAAGGAAGCTGTTGGCGGAAAAGGTGGTCTACGTTGGCGTCTGGATACCTGCTCTCCTGTTGACTATTCCTGATTTCATCTTTGCCAATGTCAGGGAGGCAGATGAGAGGTATATCTGTGACCAATTCTATCCCAATGACTCATGGTTGGTGATGTTCCTGTTTCAGCACATAATGGTCGGCCTTATCCTGCCGGGTATCGTCATCCTGTCCTGCTACTGCATTATCATCTGCAAGCTGTCCCACTCGAAGGGCTACCAGAAGCGCAAGGCTCTCAAGACCACAGTCATCCTCATCCTTGCTTTCTTTGCCTGCTGGCTGCCCTACTACATTGGGATCAGCATCGATTGCTTTATCCTTCTGGAAATCATCAAGCAAGGATGTGAGTTTGAGAAAACTGTGCACAAGTGGATTTCCATCACTGAGGCCCTAGCCTTTTTCCACTGTTGCCTGAACCCCATCCTCTATGCCTTCCGTGGAGCCAAATTTAAAACCTCTGCCCAGCATGCACTCACCTCTGTGAGCAGAGGGTCCAGCCTCTAGATCCTTTCCAAAGGGAAGCGGGGAGGACATTCTTCTGTTTCAACTGAGTCGGAGTCTTCAAGTTTTCACTCCGGCTAACAATGATCTCAAAGACTTGTATACATTAAAGAACTCTTTTTTTTTTGTTACACATTTTTTCAGATATAAAAGAGTGACCGATACTGTACAGTTTTTTATTGACTGTTGGATTTTTTCTTGTGTTACTTTAGTTTTTGTGAGGTTTAATTGACTTATTTATATAAATATTTTTTGTTGTTGTTTTTCATGTGGATGAATGTCTGTAGGCAGGACCTATTGCCAAGTTCTTAGTTGCTGTATGTCTGGTTGTAGGACTGTAGAAAAGGGAACTGAACATTCCAGAGTGTGTAGTGAATCACTTAAGCTAGAAATGATCCTCAGCTGTTTGTACATAAATAATCTCTCCATTCCGGTGAACATTTTCTTTTTCCTGTTCTTAAATGGTTTGGTTACACTATGTGATTTTGCTGTAGAAGGTGGCACTTACAACCAAAGCCTGAAGTAGTATAGAAATGATGGTTTTTCAGTTTTCTCAAGTGGACTGATTTCAGCACCTTCAATGTACAGTCTTGTATTAAGTTGTTAATAAAAGTTCGTGATAAACTTACTCAGTGTTATGTTCTGATTTCTGTTGACATTCCTTTGGCTAACAGAAGTCAAAAATAATAACATATTTATGGCATGTCAGGTCCTATCCTAGCTGTTGTAATATTTTACTTAACCCTTATCACAATTCTATGATAGGAACTCTGACTCAATTATTAATAACAGAGCTACAGTTTGTAGAGCAGGAAACTGAGGCACAGAAAGCCCAAGTGACCAGATTAAAGGCATGGTAAGTAGCATAGCCAGTATTCCAAACCAGGGAATCTTGTCTTCAAAATCTGAAGTCTCAACCACTTTCAACTCCTAGACATTTAGAAACATCCAGCCAGTTCCTATTCCTATGAAAAGTCATCTTTTGAAGGAAAAATGTATGTTAAGGAGAAAAGGGATGCAATACCATGTTTTAAATTTTACTAGGACTGACCCCTTGTATGATCCAGGTCTGTGCTGTGCCAAGCACAGTATGCTTTTTCTCATCTGATTCTTTCCATCTAGATTCCATCATTCCCTTTTCACAGACAAAGGAACAGAGATGCATAGACTTTCCATAACTTGCACTTTCAAGGGGACAAACCAGTTGATTCCATTCATCCTTCCAGACTGTGCTCTTAACCATACCACTATCGTTCCCCAGAACACCTGGTCATAAATCAACTGAACTGTTATTGAAAATAAAGCCAAAAGTGAATGTTTTCTTCATAAAATTAACCATGCCAAAAATACCCTCCTTGCAATATCTTCTATGCAAATCTCAACATTTTATTGCAACACCTAGCACCTCAAGGGTTTAACCAAGCAGATGAAAGTTAAATTGGTGCTTTCAGAGCTCAGAAGAAAGGTCCACTGAACCAAGCTCCTCACTGCTCATATTTTGCACAAGATTTTGGAGTCTTACATAATAGCACCCGTAGCTATTTACACTACCATTGTGCAAGCCCTGGCTCTTGAGTAAATTTCAGCTCTGGTCTCCATTTAAAGATAATTTCTAAACTATATAGCAGCCGTACCTATCTCATTTTGGAACACAAACAGGGCACTCCAGGCATGCACTCAAAGATAATAACCAGGATATAATCAAGGCAATATTTGGTCTACTTTTCATAATTGTTTCTGGCACAGAAAATCTATTTTGGAGGAAAAATTGCAATGTATTATCTTTCTGAGGCAAATCACATTTGTTGAAGGCAAATTATAGATCCTGTGAAGGGAAATAACTTAATTACTTAAAATAGAATCCAATTTGGCTGTACATTTCTGCTGCAGTCTATGGATCTGGAATAATTCAGAGTGGTATTCCTATTCCACTTGAGAACACAATTAGATTTTATATAGGAAATTATCTTGAGGTTTCTTGGTTTTCCCTGCGAAGCCTAATTGGATCACCCTTCATTTAAGCATAGTTTTACATGTACCCTTTGGAAGGCTTAGTCTTAAAACCATGACCATTGTAAAAGACTTCACTTGAACTTTCTCTATAAATATTTATCCTTGAGACAATAGAAGAAATCCTTGGAAGGAACTCGCTTTCTTTCTCATCTTGGCTTGAAACCTAGTCACCCCAGATTCCTCTCCTTTACCCTGGAGTCACAACAAAAGGAACCAAGCTGAAACAAAATTCCCAGTGTCACCAGTCTTAATGGGTATTTCATTCTCCCTTGGAACAAAGGTGGGATAACTCTTTTAAAAAAGAAAAAAAGGTTTGTCTCTCCTTGCCCTGAAAGCCCCACCCCCCAACATTCTCTGTCCCCACCGCACCATGTTCCAAGTGGCTCCAAAGCATTCCCTGTGTGGTGGTTTGTTCGACAATGCTGGGAAACCCAGTCTGCTAGCCAGCCCTCACATGAAGTAGCTGATTGTTCCCTCTCCTCATCCCTTATGAATGGGGCCCTTGAAGGTCAGTAATGTAGATCCAGTTGTATAATGGAAGCTAAAATATTTAAATTGTATGCATGCTGCCACAAATGGCATAAATATGACATCTGAGTTATTAATAACATTAAGCCTGTGACTGGGGAGGAAAGAAGATGTTTTTATCTTGCAAAGCCTTTGTTTTCGTAAAACGCCACTTGGCAATTCACCTCCCCCTACTGGGGGCTTCTCAGTCTCCTTTTGTGGTTATGCCTATGTTAAAATAATAATTCTGGGGGACTCTTTTAATAGGAAACTCTACAGGTTTTATTTTAACAATCTAACAAGCTTGATTTTCTCCAAGCTTATTGTAAGATAGTAAAGGCTCCATAAACAGAATTGAGTTGTCATTATGTCCATGTAATACTCACTGAGGAGGCGTAGGGACCACTGGAGACAAAATTCACATTACCTTAGAAAATAATCTAGGCATCCTCCAGCACTTAAAAATTTGACATTGCAGGGATCCCTGGGTGGCGCAGCGGTTTAGCTCCTGCCTTTGACCCAGGGAATGATCCTGGAGTCCGGGGATTGAGTCCCACGTCAGGCTCCCTGCATGGAGCCTGCTTCTCCCTCTGCCTATGTCTCTGCCTCTCTCTCTCTCTCTCTGTGACTGTCATAAATAAATAAAAAATAAAAAAAAATTGACATTGCAGCCTGGCATCGTAGGGATGTACCCAGCCCACTTTGAGGAGGTCTCCACTTGGCCGTCAATGTGGCTTAGCCAGTCAGTGTTGGAGATCCAAAAGTTAGCCAGAGGAATGACCTTTCCATGAGCACAGCCCAAGAGAAACATTGTTGAAATGAATCCTTTCAAAGCAGCAGCTCTCAACTGGGGCAGGGTAGAACCTGCGGGAGGGGAAGGCAGGGGGAGGAGGTGGTGGCAGGGGTCACTCCCCCAAGAAATATTTGGTAAACTCTGGAAATATTTTGGTGATTATACCGGAATGGGTGGGTGGGTAGGTAGGTAAAGTGCTACTGGCATCTAGTAGGGGTAGGGGGCAGGGATGCTGCTAAACATTCTACAATTATCCAGCCCAAAGTGCCCAGAATACTCAAATTGAGAATGTTTTTTCAAGATGAGGATGACAGGATGATAATAATTATGAAAATAAGGATATATCCAAACAATATAATCCCATGAAATTATCAATGGACAAAGTTCCAAGGTCTCCCTTCAGCACCTCTATCTGGTCTCACTTCAATGCATTCTCATTCCCCCTTACTCAACACACCATTCTCTTCCACCTTTACTTCTTCATCATCTTGCTGTAATGAACATGTCTTTCCGTCTTCTTCTCTCATACAATGCTAGGAAGGCACCCCACAAAGGGAAATAAATGGTAAAGGGTGACTGCTGCAGATTCTCTAGCTCCCACCCAATATCTGTCTCCCTAAAGACCACAATGTTTACTCAGCTAATCCTCACCATAGTCTGCGACTCAATTTGGAACACATCCCACTTTGCTCCTTTTATTTAAAAAAAATAAACAAGGAATGATGAGGTACCAGGCCATTGCTCCATTGTCTACAAGTGATTTGGATTAATTTAAAGCAATCCCATTAAGTCCAACAATTAAAATCTAAAACCTTCTGAAAATCCTTCTTTCAACTGAAAATGCAAACTGTTTGCAGGCTGAGTTGAGGGATCCACAATGTTAAGAAGTCATACAAGGGGAAAGGATTTTTCAAAATCAAACAAATAGAAGTGCTCAACCAAACCATACCAGGTGCTGGATGTTTATCTGGTAGAGCCAGTCCGCGATTAAATAGATTTACATATTACAGTTCAATTAACTAGAACCCAACTCATCAACACTCTTAATTAAAGGGAATTACTTCCTCATATTTGACTCTGTTCAGAAGGAAGGTAATATTTATTGAGAGCTAACTGAACTCCAGGCACACTTATCCATGTGCTCCTCAGAAAAGCCCTACCAGTTAAGTATTACTCTCTCCATTTTCAGGCAAGAACACAAAGAAATTAAACTACAATAATGGGGTTATGTTCTTTCCCCTGTGCATACTATAAATGGCACTGAAGCAGAACCAAACATGTTCTGAGGCACATCCTCAAGTTCTCAATATCTTCAGTTCAAATGACTCTATCTTTTTTAGGTTGACTTCTACGTGATATCAAAAACAGTTATCACTCACCTTGAGGGCTTCCTACATACAAGGTACTTTGATTATTTAATCTTCATGACCACCATATGTAGTAGGTATTATCATTTCACTGTTTTACAGATGGAGAAACTGAGGCAAAATTTATTCAACATCATGTAGGTATGAGGTAAAACCCGGATTTGAACACAGGCAGGCTGACACCAGTGTGTGCCTTCTTAAGCACTACAGTAACTTCATTATCTTCTATCGTGTTAGCCAAGGTAATACCATGAGCTCAAAAAGATCCTCTGTGTTCTTCAATCCTCTTCAGGGTTCAGTAATAGACACTTGTATGATTATACTTTGTAAAGCAACAGAGCAGATACTGATTTTTTTAAAGATTTTATTTATTTATTTAGTTAGTTATTGGAGAGAGCGAGATCATGAGCAGGAGGAGAGAGAAGGGTAGGGAGAGAGGAAGAGGAAGAGGGACAAGCAGACTCCCCAATGAGCTGGGGCCCACATGGGG